GTATATATTTTTGAAAGCATTCTTACTTTACAGAATTTTTTCATACCTGCCTAAAACTTTTGCACAGTACTGTATACAAAGGCAATGTCCTAACAGATACTGCTGAGATCACTTCAAGAATTGGCTTCTGTTCCTTTTTTTCCCTTTTGAGTTATCTGTTAAATACAAACCTGTTGGAAGAATGTCTTAATTTAGTCTTCTGTATGGTACCTAGTAAAGTTTAGTAGTTTTAACTGACAGAATCTTTATTCTTGGGTCTTCTGACTCTAATTGCTCCTTGTTCAACATGACTATGACATTTATTGATGGAACTTATCCTTAATTAGTTCATATTCCTCACATATAATGAGAAATTTACTGTCTTTTTTACTGTCTTTTAATTTATTTTGCAATAAAATGAAGCCACTGTGGAGTTCAGTGTGTAATGTAATAATTCTTACAGGCATAATGCCATTGCACCACTGTACAGGCAACACTTGGAGGTAGAAACTTCAAGGAGGAAGCAACTAATTAAAGTTCAGGGGGATTTTTGCTGAACCCAACAAACTGAAGCTCAATCATGGAAGACAGCTGTTGCCAAATACCTGTGTGGATGCAACACTTATTTCCCATTTCCAGATGATTACAGGAAAGGAATGCCTCAGAGTTATTTAAAGGGTAATAATGGGGAAGTTAATGCAAGAAGGCTGAAAATCTTTGCTCTGAGGCAGGAATTCCTCTTCTTACCTATGGCAGAAATTTTTACACAAATTGTTCAATACAGTTAGAAGGTATCCATCTACCTTTCAAATACTGTGTAGGAAGAGTCTTAAATTTAAAATGTTCATAGAATTTGGTGCCTTTCTGGAAAAAATGTTCACAAATAAATGGTCTTTTACAAATACCTGGGGAAAAAACCTCATTGTAATCAATGGGACTAATAAAATATGATCCCTCTGTGCATTACCTTAATGTCAATGTAATGGTACTAATAGCAGTAGCAACCAAGTAACAATATTAACCATTCAGCTTTTTGTGGAGAAGCCCAGCCTCATTCATAGGTTATTACAAATGAGCTCAGAATTCATCTTTTTCATCCATGTTTTCCCAATACATTCATCTTTTTTTTCAAACTATCTGCTCTTTGTCTGGAAGAACATCAGGTATTGTTTCTAAGTAGGCACACTTAGACATTTGCCACTGAGTTGAATTTTAACATGTTAGTTAAAAAATAAATTAATAGAAAGCCAGGAATATCCCTGGAGGCATGTTGCTGTCACAAGTTCCTTCCCACTGCATACTTTCTGGGCTGTTGGTTTGCACTTCTTTTGAGACTCTGGCTCTTGTTGACATGCTGCAAGCTGTTGTGCTGCCAACTCAAGCGCATCTTTCCACCATGACATTTGAATAGGCAAACAGTTTCATTTATTCTTTGTGATCTTACTGCATGGTTTGGTGAGTTCATAGTAAGTCAATCTGCCTTTCTCTGGGTTTATGTTAGTTAAAAAGAACTAGCTATATCTTCCTCTATGAAGCAGGAGATTGAGCTCCGGTGATAGAGTGGTGGATACAGATCTCTTCTATCCAGTGTTTAGCCTTTGTGTAACTAAGGCTGTCTTGGCCATTCCTACTGTTTTACAATGTCAGCTTGTTCTGAAGGGGGGGTGGGGAGAAGGCTGGCACAGTCTTAGTAGCTTTACTATTTTTGGGTCTCTAAATTTAGTCAATCCAGGAATCCCAGGGGCTGTAAGCTAGATTGGGAAGTTAAAAAAACCACTTGGAAGATGGCAATGGCAAACCACTTCTGTATGTTTACCAGGAATACATAGGGATGTGTCCATGTACTCACCATCTTGACCTGAGGGTGTCTTTACCCCTTTTTGTACAGAGCAATCAAATGATAAGCCAAGATAATAGCCAGTTAGAAACTTACGCCAAAAGGGAGTCATACTATCTATCTTTCTTTTGAGGTAGATAGATAGATAGATAGATAGATAGATAGATAGATAGATAGATAGATAGATAGATAGATAGATAGATAGATAGATAGATAGATAGATAGATAGATAGATAGATAGATACTGTAGATAGATAGATGATAGATATATCAGTGTGTACACTTGATTTGGCCAAATAAGAGCTAAATTGGGTTTAGACTCTTACATCTAAAACCACTGGAGTTTCTCTAAAGCCTTCTCTGAGTTTCATTAGTGAGACTGAGGAGGAGGTGATGCCCCAGGGGGAAAAAATCTGTTTGTAAAGAAATTGCCAGGTTGGGGAGAGAGAGAAGAGAGTGCTTTTAATCACAGTGGATAGTTTTGCCAGACTTCCTCTTTCACAGTGCTTTGAAGGACATAACATCAAAGCAGTATATTGCAGGACTGTTCTTGTGCTTAATGCTCTTTGATACTGTCTTCTGAGGACAAACATTAGATTTTGGTGGAATCTTTAGAACTTGGAAGTATAAAACTGGGAGCATGTTTGAAAAAAAAAAAAAAGAATGTTCCACACTGTTCTTTGCTTTGTAGCTATCCTTTACTCCTACTCTATTACGCTTCCTGTAATTCTGATATGAATGGAACAAAATCCATAAATGCACACATTTTCATTCATAACTACCTAACCTTGCATTTACTCTTTTTTTTTTCAGGTTCGTTGCTTAGGGGGATTACTGTAATTTACCAGAAAGTTTATTGTTACTCAAAAACTCCCAACCTATTCTTATAAAAATATATTGGATGTTATCTGTTCAGAAGATCAACTTTGCCTGTATATTCCATCCAATTCAGCCAATACAGTACAGTTCTTTTAAACTTCCAACATTAAAAGGGATTTAGTATAGCACACCCACCCTTCCTATTTATTGGAAACCCAAAACCCATCCTCTTGAACTAGAGTATTACTATCAGAGCAAAAATAGTCATTTCTTGATAATGAAAAAAGAGATTGGGATTTCCAAATAGTTGTCACATTCATATTCATATCCCAAACCAATTGGTGAGCCTCCAAAGAATTCTGAGATAAAGCATACCATTTTGCAAATTAGGGTCCAAATCAAGTATTTTGATCTATACATTCCTAGTACAATCAAGCTAGGTAATTTCTTCCTTTCAAAATTGTTCTCTGGTCCCCCCGAATTAGTAATATAGTCAGGTTTTACAGTAAATATGAGATGGCTGCTTCTCCTCTGAGTAAAATCATTTTTTAATCAGCAGCAAATTTCTATTACTATTGATAAAACAGCAGTAAGCATAATATTTTCATTGTTAATCACTTATGTGCCATGGCTCTGGATGAAACATGGAAAACTGTCCATGTAAAGAAATGAGGGCGCTTACTGGTGGTTCTTTCACCCCAGCTGGTGCCCTCTAGACTGTGTTGGACTTCAAATTGAATGGAGTTCAGCCACTATGTCCAATCTATTTGCTAAATAATGGTTATGGGAGTTGTAGTCCAACTTAGATGGAAGGCAACACATTGAAGAAGGCTAACTTAGTGTCACTATTGAGAATTGTGCTAAATGGGAATACCTCCTTGGCATGAAATGGGCTGATATTTTGTCTACCTACTGAGGAAAAAATGGCAATGTTAAATGGCTTCGTGTCATGAAATGGATGCTTTTGTTAAGTCATAACCAATTTAAAAATGAAACATAAACATTTTCATAAAACATGATAGGTGCATTATACTAACTCGGAATTTAGGATAATTATAAGATACTGAGTGGGAAAGGACTTGTTTTTGAAGTTGAAACTATCATCTTTTTATGCTTATTTCCTTAATAACGTTTTCCTTTGCATCATAGTATTTCTGACTATTGACCAATAAAAAAATTGCTAATGCTTGCAAATGTGAATTCTCACGTAGAGCGTGATAACTTTGAGATATATATATCTTTTGATTCAAGTGAGGATGTACATCCTTACTTAAGACTGGCAGGGATGTATGACTAATTTTTTTTTTCGTATAATTTGTATAAAGACATTGATAGATCTTTCACAAAAGATATTTATTTTTCAACAATGCTCATTAAAAGATAAAGCATAGAAATGTTAAAAACATTCTTCACAAAACCATACATTTCTTATACTAACCTTTATAGACAGTCAAGTAATACAATGCTTAAGTTTCAAGTGGCCATGAGAAACCAGCAGTTCTTTACTTTTAAAAAGCTGAGTATTAATGGTGTTATTATTTGAAATGACTGCCCATTTAAATGATTTTTTTTAAAACTTGCAAGGGAGACACTCATCTAGAAACATGGCAGAGTCACTTTGTGAGGTTGTGTGCATTTGACACTGAAAGAGTGAATCCTGCAAAATCATGGCATGTCTTTGAAGGAGGTAGAATGAATCCTCTGCTTTTGTCCCTATCAACAGGGGAAAATGAAGGTGACGGTTATGGCCAAGATCCTCCTGCCTTCGTAATGTGGTAACTTGGGGCAGTCATAAATGTAATAATATGTCTATATAGTTAGTTTGAATTCAGTAAGGCATAGGTAGATCCATACTCCCATGCAAAGGAGCATGGCTTACATTTTATGTAGCTGAGATACTAGAGCAGTGTTTCTCAACCTTAGCAACTTTAAGATTTGTGGACTTCAACTCCTAGAACTCCCTAGCCAGCATAATGATTAACAGTTTAAATCAATTAACAGTTGATTTAAAGCTGTCTTAACTCTGAAAAGAGAATAACATTCCTAGATAGCAAAAGACTTGACCTCCTAATGCCATGATTAGAAAGGAAACTCAAGAGTTAATGTCTTTGTCAGGAATTTGACCATAGGTCTGAAAGGATGAACTTATGTGTATTGAAGCTTAGAACTCTGTGTAACTGCTGTGTCCAATGCAAAATAGCTTTTCATATTTCCAAGCTGGATGGGCTGTTCAATTTTTTCAAAATTACTTGAAGCAGTGCTTATTTGTCACGATATGAAATTTATCATTGTTCTGATGCATTGGTCCAACTTCAAAAGACATCATTTCAGGTTCTTCAGAATGTCTCTTCATCACTAGTGGATTGAGTATAACCTGAACGTGATGACTCAGAACAGAAAGACTCATGGAACCCACAAGATTTACAAAATATTTTCGAAAAGATACAGTTTTCGAAGAACTGTTTGATGTATAACTTGAATTTTTGTCCCATAAAGAAATAGATGACTGGATTCAAACAGCAGTGAAAATATGCTAGGATTTGAGTCACCTGATCTGCATAATCCAGATTTTTGCTGATTTCACATTGTCCAAGAATACCCACATCATCCAAACATTTTAGAAAAAGTACAATATTGTAAGGTGTCCAGCACAAAAAAAACGCAACCACCACGACAAATATCATCTTCACTGCCTTCTTTTTCTTGTTATTTCTGCAACGAACCAAGGTCAAAACTATCCTTGCATAGCAAAAGGAAATGATGATGGAGGGCACAATGAGGCCTAATACGTTGATTTCCAAACAACTAAAGAGTTTCCATGTTGTGCTTTTCTTAAAGTATACTAATTTGCATTCAGTACGATTAGAGTCATTTACTGATGTGCTAAATATCAGTTCTGGAACAGAAGCATTCATGGCCACTAGCCATACAATAAGACTAGAAAGAGTGCCATAGGTGGCAGTTCTTGCTTTCAATGAAAATGCAACATGAACAATGGCAAGATACCTATCAATACTCATGAGCATGATAAAAAAGATTCCACTGAAAAATCCAATCTGGAAGATCCAAGAGATTAGTTTACACAAAGTATCTCCAAATACCCATTTATCAGCCATGAAATAAGACCAGAAAGGAAGACCAAGAACAAAAAGCAAGTCAGAGATGGCAAGATTGAGTACATAAATATCTGTCATGCTTTTCAGCCTCTTGTACTTCAACAGCAACAAGACAACAAGAGTATTTCCTGTCAAACCAAGCAGGAAGACTAGTGAGTAAAAAGTGGGAAGGAACCATGATCCAAAACTCTTTACTTCTTCTTTGGTGCATGGTTCAGGACCATATTCTTCACCATAGTCATACAAAGAATATAAAGAGAATCCCATGTTGACACTGGCTGCTTCAGTTGTAGATCTCATTTTCTTTTGGAAACCTAAATGAAAGGATGAAGGATGTCAACACAGGAAATCATATCTTTCTACTCAGAGGAACTAAGGTTGCCATCCTATGCATACTTACCTGGAAGGCCCATTAAACTCAGTGGTATTGCTTCAGAGTAATCATGTGTAAAACTAGACTGTCAACATAATATTTTTTTTTTAAATAACAAGAAAATACAGATATTCCAAATATTTGGAAGAAATGCAGTTCAGAGACAAGACAGAAACTTCAGACTGAATAACCTAATTACTGGTGCTCTAATATCATTTTTGAGACAGAAGGAACCATTTCCTCCAGTCATTCGATTATAGTACACAATCTGGCTTTGCTACTATAAAAATTGTCATTATTTTCTTCTTTCTGCCTTACCAGAAGCAGATGGGGTTTGCTCGAGGCAGGAGAAAAATATGTGTTATAATTGACTAGAATTATTTCAGCACTTTGTCTGGATGTCTCCTAAGTCCAGCCTGTAGACTTAAGAGGGAAACTTTTGGACTTTTCTGTTTCTTCCATTATCCTGTTACTATATATGCACCACCTGTTCTGATGAAGACTGATGAAGAACTTGAACATTCACCCAGTCTTTAGTCTAATGAGATATTGTCCATCCTTGAAGTATAGATTCCTTGTTGGTTGGGGAGGCTACATTTTCTATACAGTATAGGATAACACAACCCCACGCCTGTTTGCAATCAAGCATCTCCTCTAATTCCCATTTCTTTAGCCACACGAACAGCCTCCTGCCAGATTTAGGATTATCTTGCCTTTTAGCAGTGTTAAGTGTCTTTTTTCTAATCACTTCATGCAGATCAAAGACACAGTTTAAAAAAATCCGGCCCTTTTCCTCCACATGTAGGGAATTGGATTCCAGAACTCAGGAGCCTGCTGCTTTCATACTTCACACTTACCTGCTTTTGGACCTTTTCCTTTCTTCCTATAATATTATGCCACTGGCTGCCTTGACATTCTCTGAACCTCTACCACAGTGCTCTCAGATAATATTTTTAAAACCTACTGCAAGTTTTAATCAACTTATCAGAGTATTTGTGTTATCAACACTGTTTAAAGAATTACCACTACACTATATAATTAACAATAACAATATTGTTAATTATATAGTGTAACAATAAAATTGAATAACAATACAATTTTATTCTGCATGTCCCTTTGATCTCACTGTTCTTCTTATTTTCCTCTCTTTTCATTGCCTATATACCTATCAGTGTTGATTTCCACTATTATAAATCCTATTCATAGGGATACTCTTTCTTAAAATTCAGGGAAAAATACAGTATGTGCAGCATGGTGATATTTAATGGACTCCAACTCACTTGGAGGACACCAGGTTAGGAAAGGCTACATGCTACATTAAATTCTGCATCTATTGTACAGCAGTAGAAACCTTACCAATAATTCTTGGTATTGAGAATTACCAGAGGAAAACAATGAGAACTCATCCAACTCCTTGTAATCAGTGGATTTATTTCCAACAGTTATGTATCACTGTATGACATTTTGCTCTGAGAGGTAAAGAAGAAGGTTGTCATTTTTAATTTCATAAACAAAAGCCTGTCTTCTGTATTGTACATCAGCACTGAAAATAGTCTAGTTTCTTCCCCATACCTGCAGAAGTGTAGTTCGGAGAGCTGAAATGGCTGGTTGGGAGTCCTAGGAGGATCAGTTGGAGATTCTGCCAACCCCACTGCCACCAACCTCTATTGTGTGTTAAGAGCCTCCCTGTGACTGATTGTAGAAGCAGTTTTGATCACAGTCCAAGGAGATCTTATCACAAAGGAAAATAGTGTATAGGTTTTGTCGATCTGCATATTGGAGAGCTTAGGCCTGACCAGTTTTGTCTTTCATGAAAATAGAATTGCACATATAATTCACTGTTTTCAGTCCGACACACTTTTATCTGGGAATAAATGCTGTTGAACTCCGGTAGATTTCCTTTTGAATTAGCATGGATATGATTGGCTTGCATATGTAGGAGTAGTGTAAAATAAACATCATTTGTGGATGTTATACAAACCCAAAATATCCTTTAAGTGATACTCAATTACTTCTTAGTAAGCTTAATTCAGCTCAGATGGTCTTCTGCAGGCAGGTATAGATATGTGCCGTAAATGTCTTCCTTTTTTGCAAGATAATATGAAGGGTTTTTTTCCTCTCTCTCTCTCCAAAAAGATGTTTCCACATCTTAAATTTCCAGGTTTGGGGATTTACAGTCATGTAAGTAATTTTCCATTTTTTAAACCATTAAGCACAAAAAATGAGGGATTTATTTTAAAAAATTGTTTTGTCACATTGTTATTAGAGCTGGGCACAAATCACCTTTCACATTCTTTTATCCAATTTGTAAAGAACAAAATTGAGTTGGATGAATTCTCTGAATTTCTCCAGGAAGAAGAGAAATTCTCCAACAATTTCCTAAGGGTAGAATTTCATCTTAGCGGTCACGGTAGTATCACTGTGGAAAAAGGGCCTTTGAGAGGAGATCTCTTACACTTTTATTTTGGGATATAACAGAAGCATGAGCACGAGAAGCCAGATCCTCAAAGAAATGACCAAACAGTAATTTACGCACACTATTCAATGACCTTGTAACCAAGTAACTGCTAGAATACTATATACCCTCCACTGTAAATTCCTCAAATATTTCTTTTCCTTTGGGGGGAAAAAAATCTAAAGCAAATTCTGTCATTAAAAATGGAATAAAGAAAAAAATACAAGCAATTTTCTCTGCCTGACACTACTTCACACTTAAAATATATATTTACCTGTCCAAGAAGATAAGAAGTATCTTGCATAAGGGTGATGTGCCGTCTGCGCTGAGGAAGTGGTGTAAATCAAGTGAGATAAACGGCACAGAAGTTAACTGAAGACGAGTAATCCATTGAAGTACTGTGCACATGTTAGGTTCCTACTGATGAGTGACAGCCTACTGAACCTCACTAACCCCCTCTTGTGAATAACACCACAGTGATGCCACACTTTCAGCATCTAGCTCTTCGGAAAATTACAGTCTGTTTATTCCAGAAAGGTTAATAATTGTACGCTTCATTACCTTCTCTGTGTGTTAAATTTCTTTTAAGGTCCCTCTTTGGGTCCTTTCACACTTCTTTTCTGCAATCCAAGGGGGTTGAACAGTAGGTACTCTGGTTCTGCATGATATTTAACATAAGTGATATCTTAGCTGATTTATGGTTGTGTTTCCACTTTTGAAATGCATGGATAAAATATGACCTGTGCACAAACCAGATTTTATTGAAGCAAATCAAAGCATTTATTGTTAAAAAAATAATTATCTTCCCAAGGAGAATTATATTACAGATGTGAAGGACACAGGATTCTGAACAGCATAGCAAGTAATCTATGCCAGTTTCTGTAGCTGTACATTCGTGACCTTTGTTTGGGGCTGACCACTCAAAATAATAATCAAAAGAATGCAAAATCTAATCCAAGGGACAGCTTTTCTTGGTCTGTTGAATTCAGACTCTTTGCATACTTCAGCAAAAAGCATTAGTTTCTTGTAACAGTGAATAATTAGTACAAAAGGGAGGCAAGAGGGAGGAACTGCAGAAATGCAACATGCTTAATCTAAGGCAGTGTTTCTCAACCTCAGCAACTTTAAGATATGTGGACTTCAGCTCCCAGAATTTAAGGTGTGTGGACTGTAGCTCCCAGAATTCCCCAGCCAGCCAATATTTTTCCCTTGCAAGATTTTCTTTTGTTCTGACTCTCAAGCATACCTAGTAAACCTAACTGTAGAGAAAACTCAATCTTCTTTTAGTTGGGTATGACATCTGGTAAAAACTTTCTTCACAAAATCTGATTTTTTTTATCACAGTTCCACTAAAGATGAAAGAATATTCCCATCAGGCTGCAGTCTTGCCAACAGTTCATTTCCACACTGCTCTCCAGCCTTTCCACAATATTTACAAAATGTATAAGAGATTCTTATTGGAGTATGATGCCACCAATGTAATAGGTTAAGGATTATTTCTTGCATAAATGCTGATAAAAATCCCCCATGTTGCCATACAGACTGTCATATATCATCTACATGTTTCCCTAAATCTAGATCCTAAGCTACTTTTAACTCTATGGTAGATTCACCCAAATCCATTTCAGATAAGATCTCATATATTTTTGAAGCTATACTTTTAGGTTCTATGAAAATTTTGTAGAACTAGATACATTCTATTTCCAATCCCCATCACTTTTTTTATTTCATAATATTGCATTGAGCTAACACACAAAAACCATAGTACTTTACATTTCTGTAAAACTTCTCTTTTTTTTCATAAATAGCCCATGCATCTAGAGCATATGATTAGGGGAGCTGAATTTCTTTTGGAAAAAAAAATGAAGTATGGTTTCATAACTTTCACATAGGGCTAAATATATTCAATTTTGGAATAAATCCAGACTGATCTGGATATATAATTCTACCTATAATAAATTTGAGATTTTCAGTCAATAACTTTGAGTATAATTTATAATTTGTGTTTAATAGTGTAATAGACCTATATGAAATAACTTCCTGTGTTTTTTCTTCCTGGCCTAAAAATAAGTATAATCTTAAATTTTCACTATGAAGCAGGAAGATTCTTGCCTCAATGTATTGGCAAAAGTTCTGAAAGTTTAACTTTACACATGTTCTGTAGAACAACATCTGGAAAAGGGAAGACAGACAGATATATGCCTACAATGTTATCTTAGCTGAAATAAAAATTATTCAAATGTCTAGATTTCATGCAAGCTACTGATAAGGTGTATCTGCTGTAATTTCTGGGGTTCCTGACAAGCAGATGGGACATATGGTATATGTAATTTTTTTCTGTAATTCTCTTAAAGTTTACTTAATAAAATATTTTTGGCATTTCGTGTAAGCCTATTGTCTTCAGATCCTAAACTCTATTGGTTACCAGTGGCCACAAATAGGATTCAAGGATGATGCCAATCTGGGGGGGTGGGGGGAACCACTGAAAAGAGGATGCAGAATCTGGCCTGAGCTGTATACTTGGTTGGTACCAGTGGCTCAAATACTGATCTGGGTGATGCAACCCTCTCCCTGGTGTTATGCGAGACCAGTGTGGTTAAGCATGGTTGTCCTTCACCCAGTGCAATAGTAAAAAGTTTGGATGTAAGGGAAAAAAGGGGGACAGAAAGTGGTGATGGGAGTGGGATGGATCCTCTTCAATGTGCTCCATGATGTGTGACTCTTAGAGACTACCCAGAAACAGATGAAAGCAACAGACATATGATATTCTTGCTTTTTAAAGGGAGGCACAATGAAGGAAGGGTCGGTTAGTTTTCATATTGGTAGAGGTCAGCAATCATCAGTTGTAAAATGAAATGGTGTATCTCTGAATGGGTTGGTCCTGGACTGCATGGAGTAAGCTCTCTGAAAGAACAGGGGTTAGCTCTAGCCCCAGAGAGGAGAAGGTAAATGAGCAGGCAGAGAGGGAATATTTGGTAAAATCTCCTGGTGAAGAGCCTCATCCACACCACCACTTTGTTTACTGAAAGCTTAGCCAAATACAAAGGAGAGGAACAAATATGGTGTGCTGCAGCCTTCAAACCACATGCTATATTAAACCAAACCAGGAAGGGAAAATCAAGTCCATATGCTGAATTCATGGCAATATTGATGGTATCAGAGCATGCTATACTGAAAAAGAGCAAATGGTGTCTGACTGATAGGCAGTGTTCAAAGGTACTTTTGATGCCATTTTACATAACCAAGCAGCAGACCAATTAGCTCAAGTGTGGGCTACACCAGAATCAGATCAACAAACATTGATCTTAGCCAGGCGGACTCATGAAAAATCTTGGCCTCTGGGCACTGCCGCTACTCGAGAATGGGCGCTATGGAGGGGAATTCCAGGTTCAGCTGACACTACAACTACTTCTGAACATTGTGAAGCTTAAATTGGTTCCCTTGCCTAAAGTCCCCATGGGATATTTGAAGCAAGGAGATAAATCCAGACAGAAATAGCAGTTAAGATTTCAGTAGTGTTATATGCGCATGGGCAGAATTAAAAATAGATGCCCCTAGAATCATTGACAACCGCAATGTATATGTGCAGCCTGGTAAGAGGAACTATCCTGTGTAGATGGCAATATCCCCCAAACACTGGTGAGAAAATGTCATTGTAAAGTGTAACAAATATGAATTAGTACTGGCTATTATATGGGCCATCCCTTACAAAAGTAGAAATCTGGGCTGGGAAGTGAAAGAATTGCATTTCATGCCTCCCTTAGGTTTGAATGTCACTTCAATTGCCCAGATGTTATGGGAAAGTGATGTAGTACAAGCCAAATTGTGGAAATTAGCTACACACAGAAAAATGATTAATGTTAAAAATTCAGCACAAATAGAGTTAGAATGATACGTGATACTGAAAATCTCTCTGCATCCTTGATAGGACACCTTTCCAGGTTGGAAGCTTCAGAATGTTGTATACAGTCCACCTTCCCTTAAGCTCCCAGATCAGAGAGATACAGATGCTACAGTGTGTATCAACCTCTGTGTATGGAGTATTACATGATTTCCACCCCCGTCTTGGAGGGGGACAATTTCTCTCTTTTCACTCTGTGCAATGTTTTTCAGCCACATTGACCACCAGGAGGCCCCAGTTTTGTTCTTCACTCCAGCTGCCGCAGTGACATACAATGGCAGTTACAGCTATTGGGAAAGACACCTCCTGATTGCAAAGTTGCCAGCAAGCTGTCCTTGCACCATTGCACATAGTAAGAGGCTTTTAATGTGTGACAAACCTCTAGTTTTTTGTGGAATGGCACAATAGGGCCTCCTTTAAGCCTCTGGTAAAGGTGACTCCATGCTGAGAGGCCTGAATAAATGGAATTCAGCTTTTGTTTCCCCCCAAAGCCTCTGCCCTGTAGAGGCCCTGCCTTTCACTTATACAAAGGCAGAACTGGTGAAAAATAGACGGCAGTTTTTTCATTCAACCAAGATTGCTTAGGAAGATAGGTTTAAGTTCTAGATAATTTCTTCCTTGCTGGCTAGACCAGGGACATCATAGAAGGAAGATGGGCAAAGCAATAATCATTCTGCTGAAAGAGATTGGGTTTCAGTTATCCTCTACAGTCTATAAAATTGAGGTTACTGCTTAAGAAAGGAAGAGAGAGAGAGAAAACAGGTGCAAGAAAGGAGCACCTATAAGCCTCCAAGGAAGCTACCCAGATGATTTGTTCCAATGAACTTTCAACCTTTGCTGACTCCCTTGCTCAATACAGCAAACCTACTTAAGAGTTTATAACACAATGTTGATGTGCTTCTTGCATCAAAATGTCAGGAAATACTCATTTTCAACAGTAGTGATCAGAAGACCACAGAAAAGAAGGTTGGGGGTCACATGTTACCATGAACTGTAGGCTGTGCATCCTTGTGCCACTGCGATGGTTTTCAAAGAAAAGCCCTATAAAAGAAAGCGTCTTCTAGTTCTTCAACCCTCGGTGAAGTGCCCACAGGCAGCAAACAGCCAATGGATATCTCCTTTGGCACCTTTCAGGATTTCTGCCCCCCCTCTAAGAAACCCAATCCTGTAATTTAAAGCCCTCTACTTTTCTTTAGCTTTTTGAATGCTTAAATTTAAGATCAATAGGCATCAGTATGATCAGAGATCTTTACCTTGTCAGGGCCACTAGACCTACTTGCTTTATTTTTTTCAGATACTTCTAATTTTAAGCATTATAGTATTTAAAAGCTGGCATGCTGCAAAGGGAAGCACCAGTCTCCAGGGTCACCATATTTTCCAGTAATGCTACTGGATATTACATGGATCCCATTCATGTCCTTAGGAAAAAAAGTGGTGA